AACAAACCTTCAGCGTATGATTCTGTGGTTGTTCTTCTGACTTATGTGAAGGCAATAGGGATCTCATTGCTGGTAGCAAGTGGAGTGACTACCTTGGCCTTCGGTTGGCAACAATGATGGAAGCTTTCTCTTGTGGTGAAGGGAAGACAAAAACAAAAAACAAAAAACCACATCCAGGATCAGGCAAGTTATAAGCGGCAGTTGCAAAGGACTCTAACTGTACAACTTTAGTAGATCTCCTATGTCAGAGTCAAGGTCCTGACAGGGAGAGAGTAGGACCCTGAGACCTGGGATAGGGACATTAGGGCAGACAAACCTAAGAATCTTTATCTCATAAATTCTCCTGAGTTTTCCTGGGGGGGTAGAGCAGCCCCTGACCTCTTGCCAAGGAAGAACAATTTCCCTTTTCCTTGAGACTATGCACTAATCTCACAGGAAGCAGGCACATCATAAGATGACATTTATTCTCCTCAAGACCTGCTCCCATCACCTCCTCAAATAAACAGGGTCAGTTCCCAGCAAATCCTGAGTGGGGAAATTTAAGTCCTGACCTGGGAAAAATAAGCTACACATCAAAGGAATCAAAAAACCTAGTTAATATATGTGGGAGAGATCTTGGGAGTTTTAGACATGGCAGTGAGGGGGCAGGCAAGGCAGAATGTAAGACTGGCTAATAGGGATCTCATCATCATGGACCACTGTCCTATACTTCAGGCTTCAGTATTCTTTTTTTTTTTGAGTAATCTCTATACTCAATGTGGGACTCAAACCCACAACCCCAAGTTCAAGAGTGCATGCTCCACTGACTGAGCCAGACAGGCATCCCAGTCTTCAATATTCTTGCAGAGATAGCTAGATCTCAGGGGCACCTGGGTGGCTCAGTTGGTTAAGCGTCTGCCTTTGGCTCAGCTCATGATCCCAGGGTCCTGGGATCGAGTCCCACAACAGGCTCCTTGCTCAGCGGGGAGTCTGCTTCTCCCTCTGCCCCTCAGCCCACTTGTGCTCTCTCTTTCTCTCTCTCTCTCAAATAAATAAATAATATCTTTAAACAAAAAAATGTTTCTTTTTTTTTTAAAAAAAGGATAGCTAGACCTTGCCTCCGGTAGATAGTTTCCAAAGATGGTCACAATCGATTTCTTCCTTCCCTCTATATACGTGCCACCCCTTACATCAAGGGATGGAGACTGTTTTCCTCTTCTCCTTGAATCTAGACTGGTCTTGTGATTTGCCTTAACTAACAGAATATGGTAGAAGGACACTGTTCCAGTTCCAGACCTAAACTTCATGAAGACTGGCAGCTTCCATTTCCTCCCTCTTGGAAGCCAGCCACCATGTAGGATGCACACTGAGACCCTCACACTGTGAGGAAGTACAAGTTAGCCATGCAGAAACACCATATTAAGAGAGATGACTGGGGAACCTGCATGGCACAGTCAATTAAGCATCCGCATCCAACTCTTGATTTCAGCTCAGGTCATGATCTCAAGGTCATGAGATCAAGCCCCTCATCGGGCTCCATGCTCAGCGTGGAGTCTGCTTGGGATTCTCTCTCCCTCTCCTTCTGCCCCTGCTCCCTTGTGCATGTGGTCTCTCTCTATTTCTCTCAAATAAATAAATCTTTTAAAAAAGGAGATGACTGGGTGCCTGGGTGGCTCAGTTGGTTAAGCGACTGCTTCGGCTCAGGTCATGATCCTGGAGTCCCAGGATCGAGTCCCACATCGGGCTCCCTGCTCAGCAGGGAGTCTGCTTCTCCCTCTGACCCTCTTCCCTCTTGTGTTCTCTATCTCTCATTCTCTCTCTCTCAAATAAATACATAAAAATCTTTAAAAAAAAAAAAAAAAAGGAGATGACTGACCAGTCCACAGGTGTTCCATCCATCCCAGCTGAAGTGCCATTTATGTAAGTGAAAAGGACATCTTGGGCATCTCTTCTCCTACAAACACCTGTAAATATCACATGAAGCATATGCACAACAAACTAAGCCTAACCCAGATTACAGAATTGTGAGAAATAATAAATTGCAGTTGTTTTAAGCCTTTAAGTTTGGGGGGATTGTTAGCAGCAATAAATAATTGAAATATGGTCTTAAAACTTTGCAAGGATGGTTCTTTAAAGCAGGATGGTGGCCTACAATAAATGAGGTCAAGATGCTAGAACTTCCATGGTAGAGTATTTAAGAAGAGGTTGGAAAGTTCAAGGAGGGGGGAATGGAAGATCCAAGAACTCAGCACCTGACTATGTTCTCTAGGAGGGCCCAGAGGACACTCTCTTTACTGAAGCAATGAGGTGTTCACTGAGAAATGGATATCAGCATCTCTGAGTAGCTCAGTGGTATCTGTCTTTGGTAGGCTGAGATGAAGAGTAAGAGATGCGGCCATGGAACTGGCATCCCTAATATCAATAGTAATGTTGGGATTCCAGAATGGCAGAGGTAGCATCCAAGGCCAGGTGAGTATGATTAGTGTCATGGGCAACAAGGCCAAAGTGACAATGAGGGTGCCTTGATCTGCAGGGATCTCTGGCAAGTTGACTATGGGGATGGGATGGATGGACAGCTGACTGGGTAATCCTCAATTTTTATTATTTATTTATTTATTTAAACAATTTTATTTTGGGGTACCTGCGTTGCTCAGTCGGTTAAGCATCAACTCTTGGTTTCAGCTCAGGTCATGATCTCAGGGTCATGAGATCAAGCCCTATATTGGACCCTACGCTCAGCGTGGAGTCTGCTTGAGATTCTCTCCCTCTGCCCCTCCCCCCACTCTCATGAGTGCACGCTCTCTCAAATAAACAAAATCTTTTTAAAAAATAGCTTAAAAGATTTTATTTTTAAGGAATATCTATATCCATCATGGGGCTTGAACTTACAACCCCGAGACCAAGAGTCACACGCTCTACTGACTGAGCCAGGTAGGTGCCCCCTCTCAACTTTTTGTTGTTGTTGTTGTTGTTGTTGTTGTTTGTTTTAATTTTATTTTATTATGTTATGTTAGTCATCATACATTACATCATTAGTTTTTGATGTAGTGTTCCATGATTCATTGTTTGCGTATAACACCCAGTGCTCCATTCAATACATGCCCTCCTTAATACCCATCACTGGGCTAACCCATCCCCCCACCCCCCTCCCCTCGACTTTCATATTAAAAAAAAAAATCAAGGGGCGCCTGGGTGGCTCAGTCGGTTAAGCGTCTGCCTTTGGCTCAGGTCATGATCCCAGGGTCCTGGGATTGAGTCCTGCATCAGGCTCTCTGCTCAGTTGGGAGCCTGCTTCTCCCTCTTCCTCTCCTTCTGCCTGAAACTCCACCTGCTTGTGCTTTCTCCCTCTCTCTGTCAAATAAATAAATAAAATCTTTAAAAAAAAAATCAAGAGCTGATAGGCGGAAGACTGACATTAGCTGCCACAATGGAAAATCACAGTCCCTCATCCAGACCCTAGATCTAAGTTCACATAACCAGAACACCGTGACTGCAGGAGAGGTTATGCCCCATTAAGGAACAACTCTGCAGTGAATGATACATAGTTACATGGAGTAAATGTCCCTCCAATCCTTCCGCAAAGGGATCTGCTGCCATTTACTAAGGTGACTGTGCTTTGGAAAAAGAAGAATATTCACAATTTTCAAAGATTATTAAAGACATGGAGTCTGAGCTGACACAGAAACTAAGAGACACAAAATACCAACATAGATTTCTGGTTAGAGTGGGGACTAACAGAGGCCAGGTGATAGATGGAGTTTAACCTAAATCCAGTGGATCACATGATCCTGAAGGTACAACGTGGCTGGAGGCTGTCCAGCCAGATAGTCATATGTCCCATATTGTGAATGTCAACCAGGCTCTGAACTTAGCAACTCTATTGCTTTGGGGAAAAAAATCCATAAAAAAAAAATGGCCATGGTGGCAAAGATGGAGGCTATGAATGGACCCCGAAACTTGGGCTCCTTCTCCAAAGTTAATCTAACAACCGCCAACAAATAGCCAAGCAGCCAACAGTAGGCTGCAGTGTATCAGGGAGAACCGCCAGCCACCTGGTGGCAGATCAGTTATATCAGCCCCTTTCCACTTTGGAGAAGGCAATGATTCATTCTTACTAGAATTGTTGTTTTTTTTTTTTCCTTAAAGATTTTATTTATTTATTTATGTATTTGAGAGAGAGAGAGAGAGAGGGTGAGAAACAGCATGAGAGGGTCAGAAGGAGAAGCAGGCTCCCCGCTGAGCCGGGAACCCGTTGTGGGACTCGATGCCAGGACTCTGGGACCACGACCTGAGCTGAAGGCAGTCGCTCAACCAACTAAGCCACCCAGATGCCCCTAGAATTGTTTATGTACTCCAAACATGCGTTGCATTTCTTACCCATAGTGCTTCTCAAGCATGACTATCCAAAGGTTTAAAGAATGCTCAATCCATTTACCAGGACCAGAGGACCCATTTTATGGCAAAGGATGTGTGCTAATGGCCTCATGTACATGGCCTTCACTGGTCTTACCACATGCCGTCACTCAGAAGCAGCCAGCCTGAGAAAACATGGAATCGAACGACTTTATTTCCACAAGCTTAAATCTCCTCCTCTGCAGAATGAGGATTATAAACAATAGATGATACTTTGCAGGACTGTTGTGGGATAGGAAAGAGATCATGTATATAGGGTATTTTACATAGGTCCTGCTGTGCAGAAAGTGCTTGATAAATGGTAGGCATTATTATGAATTGAATTGTGAAAGGCCTCTGCATCCTGAGAGGTGCTGGTGGTTGGGCTTCAAGAAGCCCAGCAGGGTCGTGGATCCCACTCTAGCATGATCTGCTTTGAATACTCTTAGCTGTTCAGAAAGTCCCTGGCTTCAATTACATGTTTCTGCCAGTGGATATAGCAGAGACGCCAGCGCCAAGCAGAGCTGGAGGAAAGGGGAAAGAAAACCCAGGGTGAGTCCAGGAAATGGAAACTCAGACGAGGATTGGTTGGTTGCCTGGGGGAGAGGAGGCTGTCCAAATGTGATTACAAAAAGCCAGCCTCCAGCCGGAGAGCTGTTACCTCACTGCTGTTCCCATCTAACATCAGGCTCCGGGAAGGAAAGGAAGATTCCTCTTCTCCCCTCTTCCAAGGTAAACCCAGAAGCTAGAAAGTATGAATATCAAGCTGCTAACCTCTGCCAGGCTGCCTGCCTGTGAGCCTCATGCCCCGACAGCCAGGATACCCATTCCTCAGGGAGGTTATACCCCTGGGTCCCTTGTAGTGCCCTGGACTAGGACTGGTCCCAGGAGATGGGTTGGGGGCTTTTAGGGGCTTGGGGTACCAAACCCCAAGAGACATGAGACTTGGATTATAGGTACCAACTCAGCAATCTGTGGCCTTAACCCTGGCACTTCACTTCTTTGGGCTTTAGTTTGTCATCTGTAAAATGGAGATCAAGCTACCTTACTTGCCCAAAGGACTGGACAATTTCTGAAACCCCTTTAATGTAGGATCTAAGGTGACAGTGAGTTCATCTTTGAGGATAGATGAAGTTATCCGGAAGTGTGGGTTTGAGCATGTCGACTGTGGGTTTAAATCCTGACTGCCACTTCCTAGCTGGGCAGTCTTAGGAATATTACTTAACCTCTCCCAGTTTCAGCTTCCTTATCTATAACACATGGTTGAGAACAATGGTACCTACCCCATGGGGTTGTACGGGTATAAATGACCTTGTGTCATAAAGTGCTAAGTCCTCAATATATGGGAGGTTGTCCGTTTTTAATTCAAGGAAAATTCCTTGAGCTGACAAAGATCACATTAGAGGTGAGTTTGGGGGCATATGTATTTTCCTATTCTGTGCTATAGTGGAAAGAGCGTTAAGGTTTGAATTCCGACAGGCTTGAGCGTGTGTCTAGGCTGCACAATTTGCTGTGTGAGTGTTGTTGTCACGAGGAAATTGAAAGCCCGCGGCTCCTTAGGAGGGTCCTGGGTTCAATCCAGAGCACCTCGCTGCTTTTTATGGACTCCTCCCGGAATAGGAGGGGAAAACCACCGAGCGGGTCCAAAAGGGCTCTGCAGACCTTCTCCTCCCTCTCCCACTCCTCTGGGCCAGTGACAAAGCCCGCGCGCGGCGCCACCATGCGGCAGGAGGCGGTGTCGCTCTTCCTGTGCTACCTGCTACTCTTCGCCGGCCGCGGGGCGCAGGCAGGTGAGGATCCCCGCACCAGGGAGGCCTGTGGGATAATTTTCAGAAGTGGGAGAGTTTCAGAATCCCGGCGGAGAGTCTCAGGGTCCCTGGTTCCAAGACGAGAAGGCCTATTACGATGGCCAGCTCCGGGTCGCTGTAGCCAGGGTCCCAGATTCGAATCTCCACCTGTCAATTCCTCCGTTCCACCGAAGGGTACTCTGTGCCTGGTAGGCGCCAGACACGGCGCCTTGGGTGAAGTCTCTTCCCTTCAGGGAGGCTCCCGGAAATGGAAGGATGGGGGTGGTCCTGAGCATCAGGCACAGAGTAGGGAGCCCTGCTCCCCGCTCCACTTTGTCCCCTCCCGATAGGCAAACGACAACAGGGAAAAGAAGGCTCGGAAGGCGGAGGCTCCGGGTTCTGGGGCGCGCTGACCTACATGGCTGTCGGAGGAGGTGCGTCGGGAGAGCGCAAAGCTCGGGAACGGGGGGCTCGGGCCCCTGCTGCGGGCGCTTGCTCATCACCTCCTCTTCCTCCAGGGCTCCTGGCTGCCGGGCTGCCCGCGCTGGGCTTCACGAGCACCGGCATTGCCGCCAACTCGGTGGCCGCCTCGCTGATGAGCTGGTCGGCCGTGGCAAACGGGGGCGCGGTGCCCGCCGGGGGGCTGGTGGCCACGCTGCAGAGCCTCGGTGAGTGGGCGGCCGGGCCCTCGGGCGGGGACGCCAGGGTCAGGTGACTCTATGAGTCGGGTGTTCTTACAATCTCCATCCTGCAGTGGGGAAACTGAGGCACCGAGGGACTAAGTAATTTACTCGAGCTCTCCCAGTTAATTAGCGCCAGGGCCAGGATTCGAACCTGGTCTTATGCCTCGCTTTTAACCATGAAGGCCAGGTGCCTCACTGATGCTTTGGCCAGGTCACGACAAGCCTCAGTTTCCTCATCTTTTAACAGGGATGGCCATCCTCAATATAACATTTTATGAATCTGCTCAATCCCAGAGAACCAGATTGGCAAAGAAAGGTGGTAGAGAGGGGTGCCTGGCTGGTTCAGTTGGTAGAGCATGTGACTTTTGATCTCCCCGTTGTGAGTTCAAGCCCCACGTTGGGTGTAAAGATTATACTTAAAATTTTTTTTTTTAATTTTTTTAATTAAAAGAAACGCATTCACTTCTCTCTCTCTCTCTTCCACCCCTTTCTTTTTCTTTCCCTCCCCCTCTCTCTGAGGCCTCCAAAATCCTAGAGAAAAGTTGCCCCTGGCAGACTCCTCTCTGCCTTCCTGAATCTTCCATCTGCTCACAATTCTGGATGACAAAAGCTCAAAGAACCAGCCCAAAAGAATATAGTCTTTCTCAGAGGGGGCAGAAGAGAAGACACAGATCAGTCCATACCCCAGCAGTGGGAGGTGAAGGGTGTGGGCAAGGCTAGGAACAGGCCTGCGCTGTAAGATGCTTGTGCATGTCACACGCTTGTGAGGAGGATGAAATCCCTTACTTGTAAACCCCCAGCCCCCACAGGGAGGTCACCACTGAGGTGGTTGTTGGGAGCATTATTAATAACACGGTGTGTTCACCGCAGATGTGAAGAGAATGAGCTGTTATTGGTGTACTTTCCATCTCTGAAACACATCTCTGATTTGAGATGGCAAGTCAAGGGGGAACTAGGATTCACTTTGCAAAAGTCCTGTCCCCTCTTAAGGCCCCTGTTTCTCTAACTGGAAACGAAGAAGTTGGACTTCACTAATGGTTTCCAGGCATTTGGATTCTCGGGTCTGGCGCCTGGGCCCCAAGTGACCTGGCTCTATTTGCTTTACAGGGACCAGTGGTGGCAGTGCCCTCATGGGCAAGGTTGGTGCCTTTCTAGGCTACACTGTCCACAAATTCCTCGAAAACAGCAAGGAGGAGGTGGACGATGAGGAGTAGCCAGCAGCAGCCGGGAACCCACTCCTTCCAATTGTAGCCCAGAGCTTTCTCTGTCACACTCATCAGTGACCTAAGTGAAAACAGAATAAAATTCAATCAGAAAACACTTTGCCCTGGGGCACCTGGGTGGCTCAGCCGGTTAAGCGTCTGCCTTCGGCTCAGGTCATGATCCCAGGGTCCTGGGATCGAGCCCCGCATCAGGCTCCTTGCTCACGGGAAGTCTGCTTCTCCCTCTCCCACTGCCTGCCGCTCCCCCTGCTTGTGCTCTCTCGCTCTATCTCTCAAATAAATAAATAAATAAAATCTTAAAAAGAAAAAAGAAAGAAAGAAAATGCTTTGCCCTTCTGTGAGTCACCCTTACTGTGAGAAGCCCAACAAGATATGGCTCTGATTTGCCTTCTCCACACACCTCCGACCCCTTCTCCCCTGGAGCCAACCGCAGCTCCTGGAGCACAACCAGGTGGTTTTGTCTCTGGGCCTCAGCACGTGCTGTTCTCTCTGCCTCAAATGTCCTTCTGAAGCTCATAACCCAGCTGAGACACCCCTCCTCTGGGATTCCTTCCCAGCAGAGCCTCCTGCCACAGCGTGAACACTCAGGCTTGATTTCACAGGGTGCCTGGGGAGGCAGAGCTCAGTCTGTTCTCAGTGGGAGAAGCTTCCAGCTACTTTTCTGATTAGGCAGAGATGGAGAAGCCTGATCCCCATTCTCTGAAGAAGCACAGAGTGGTCTCCCTTAGATGGGGAATATAAGGCCACTCCTTTTCCTTGGGGAAAGTGTGTAACACCAGCTTTTTGAGGGCATGGCTTGGGCCAGGTCTCCTTCCCTCCAAGAACTCTGGGGAATCAAATGGACAGTTTACGTATGGAGCCTTTACACCTTTGGAATGGAAAAGAAAGGCCAACCCAAACCTTTGGGGAGATCCAAAGTTAGCAAGGCCTCGCCAGGTGAACCAGGGTGCCTGGACCTAGGTGGGGTGGGGTTGCATAGGGGTCCCAGAAATCAAATGGCAGTGAAGACAGGGCTGGTGCCAGCACCAGGGTTCCGGTCTCTGAGCGGGCACACCAGCCTCCATGCCAGACCAGCCTCCTGTGGAGATCTGCATCCCTGGGAAGTGGTCATGTGTGAACCACAAAAGCTGGTCACAAAAGGGCCATCGCAGCTGTGCTCCGGCCTCCCCCGCCCCACCCCACTTGTAATCCAGACATTCTTCTCCAGTTACCGCTGTGTGTGGGAGGGTGGGTAGGAGGTCCCATCCTGCCCGCTCCTGCCCCCAGACCTCACGCCATCGCTGCGGCTGGCAATCGTGTGCCTCAGCTGGCTTGCCCCTGGCCCCAGAGAAACACTGCTCGTGGAAGAGGTTCATAGGTGGGAGAGACACCACCTGCTCCTCACACTCTCTTCATGGCTTGTGTCCAGGAGCAAAAGCTGGGCTGAGTCCCCTGAGCCGATGCGCACCACAGGGGCCTCAGCTGAGTCCTGTCTTGGCTGGGGCCGTCCACAGAGGGGCAGAGTGGACTTCTGCCTCCAGAGGGAGGCGGAGTCTCAAGCATCACACTCTACTGAGGCCTGCACCCCAGTTTGTCTATAGGGTTGACATCCCAGAGACATAGTGTATACCCCTTAACACCTTCAGGGAAGGCATTGTTTCTAATTTCTCTCTCCTCTCCAATGCCTGGCACAGGCCCGGCACACAGTAGGTGCTAATATACGTGGGTAGAATCGAACCTGAGGTCAGTCTCCTCTCATCTATTCCTTCACCTTCCCCAACAGTCATGGGAAGAATGGCTGGATCTCTTGTTCTTTCTCTCGGGGACCCTTAGTAATACCCACTGTCACTACCATGTCGGCCTGGGAATGGGGGAGCTGAACCCCCTTTAACACTGGTCTGAGTAAACACAGGCCTTTAACCTCTTACTCAGCATTCTCCAGCATGGATGAGTTTGGGGTTTTCTCTCTCTCTCTCTTTTTTTTTTAATGTATTTATTAGAGAGAGAGAGACAGCGAGAGAGGGAACACAAGCAGGGGGAGTGGGAGAGGGAGAAGCAGGCTTCCTGCGGAGCAGGGAGCCCGATGTGGGACTCGATCCCGGGACTCCAGGTTCTTGACCTGAGCCGAAGGCAGTCGCTTAACCGACTGAGCCACCCAGGCGTCCCCGAGGTTGGGGTTTTCAAATAAGACAGTGGAGCATAGTAGTTAGGAATTTCCTCTGGAGTCCTATAGACCTAACACAAGTTCCTTCACTTCATGTGACTCAGTTTCCTCCTTTGTAAGATTAAAGGATAAAGCAGAGAGAAAAAAGCCAAAAAACAACCAGGAACTAGATCATGTGACTTTGGAGTCAGGGTTTACTTTCTGGAGCTCACAGACCCTGTTCTTCCTTTCTCCTAAGGATGGGCACCCTGCCCCCAGGATAAACCCCCCACTTATTCCCTTGGTGTCTTTTTTTTTAAAGATTTTATTTATTTATTTGAGAGAGAGCAAGAGTGAGAGAGAGCACAAGCAGAGGGAGTGGCAGAAGGAGCAGGAGAAGCAGGCTCCCTGCTGAGCAGGGAGACCGGATGTGGATGCCGATCTTGATCCCAGGACCCCTGGTCATGACCTGAGCCAAAAGTAGACACTTAAGCAACTGAGCCACTCAGGTGCCCTGGCATTTTTTTTTTTTTTTTAAGATTGATTTATTTATTTGGGACGCCTGGGTGACTCAGTTGGTTAAGTGTCTGCCTTCGGCTCAGGTCATGATCCCAGGGTCCTGGGATCATTTCTGGAGTCGGGCTCCCTGCTCATCGAGGAGTCTGCTTCTCCCTCTCCCTCTGCCTTCCACTTCCCCTGCTTGTGCTCTCTCTCTTGCAAATAAATAAAATCAGAGCGAGAGAGAGAGAGAGAGAGAGGAGGGGCAGGGGATCCTTAAGCAGACTCCTTGCTGAGCGTGGAGCCCGACTCGGGGCCTGATCCCAGGACGCTGAGATCATGACCTGAGCTGAAACCATGAGTTGGACGCTTTAACCCAGTGAGCCACCCAGGCGCCCCTTCCCTTGGTATCTTATTCCCTTGAACAGCTTCAAGGCCAGAGACAGACAGAGAGCTCAGCCCCCAGGATTTCAGATTTGAGGCCTCAGCACTTCTCAGGCTGAATGACACTGAAAATGACCCGTCTTTGAGGAGACACTCTGCTTCCCACAGGATCCCTTGGGTCTCTGCAGGATAACTCCTTGTGTTCATTCTGCAGGCATTTCCTGGGCACTCAGTCTGTGTCTGGCACTGTGCCAGTTGCTGAGAACACCGTGGTGAAAGAGACCTGGTTCCCACCTCCTTGGAGCCCACAGTGCACAAACCAGGAGCCCCCACAAAGTATCTATGACCCCTTTCTCCCTCCCTGTCACCACCTCCTTGCCCGCATCTCCCTTTACCCATCCTGGCCCTTGTGAGCCATCATGGGCCACAATCATCCTTCTACAAAGTGTGAGGCAGAACAATGAACACAAACCAGAATTCACTTATGCAACAAGTCAGGAGATGCTAATGCACTTTTAGCCTCCTCCTTGGCAATGGCCTTCAGAGAGACAAAAAGCTGAGTCCTGGCCCAGCAACAGGGTGGTGCCTCCAGCAGGTTACCTGCCTTCTGTGAGCCGTAGCTTCCTCATTTTTAAAACAAGGGGGCTTGGATATTATGGTCTCGGAGGTATTCCCTGCTCTAAAACTGCTGAGCCTGAAGTACATGCTTCGGAATCCTCTCAGTCATGTCTGATCCCGGCCCTCTGAGAGTGGATTTTATTTTTAGAAGCTGCCAAAAGCCACCTTGTGATGCCAACTTTGGTGACTAAGGTGGGTGATGGTGCCGAGAGATGCCATGTTTGGTCACAAATGAGGGTGACTAGAGACCAGCAGGGCAGTTCCTCATTCTGAGACCACACCCTAAGACAAGTCCAAAAATAGATCCCATCTGTGTGACTGACTTGATGGAAAACAACACTGAGGTCCTCTGTCCTCATCATTTCTCTCTGGACCTCAGTGTCCTAGTCTATGAAATGGAAGAGGGGCGGAGTTGAACTCTCATCTAGACCTAGACTGTCTTTCCCAAGTACTCAGGTGAGAAGTGTCTTTCTCTTTAATAAAATCCCTTCCCATAGGGATTTCTTTCATTTTTTAAGGGCCTCCCTGGCCCCCAGACCCTTGAAAGTAAGCTCACTCCCTCTCAGGGCCGACTTCCCAGCATCCCATGGTGCTATGTGTTGTTATGGCCACCAGGTGGCAGTACAATCCCGCTCTGAATCTCCCTCAGCCTGCATCATCCTTTAGCAGCTTCACAATTACCACCAGACCTCCCTGGGGCAGACACCACAAGGGATGCTGAAGACCAAAATGAATCAGACCCTGCCCCTGCTCTACAGCACGAGCTCCTGAAGCTCACGGAAGTGGTCACTCCTGAGGATCCCTGCCCCTCCTCTCCCTTGCATTGCCGGCCCTCAGTCCTGCAATGCTGAGATCTCCAAACTCCCCAGCAGGGCATTCAGGACCCTCTGCAATCAGGTCTCACCCCCAGGCCTACAGCCTGTGCTTCCAAACCGGAGCCACAGGGATCTAAATGAAAAGGAGACGAACACCCCACACACACTTCCTGGCTGGGCAGCAGAGAGTGATGCCAGGTACAGGGTATCCCTGGATTCGGCCTTGAAGGGGGCCTGGGCCAGCAGAGGGCCTGGGTCAGCAGTGGCTGGAGGGAGCTGAGGCAGAGGAGGCCTGTGGCTTCCTGTGAAGAGCTAAAGAGCCACTTCCTTTAAGCAGATGGCTGTGGGGGAGGGGCAGAAGAGTAGGGAGTATGGGCTGCCTGGCTTAGGGGGAAAAGAAAGGGGCCCCAGCAAGGCCCCCTGGAGAAGTCCAGAGCAACCTTCTATTTCCCTTCCATCTGAGGTTTCTGTGGAGGAAACAGTGCAGACAGGTAGGGTCACACCCTTCTCATGTGCTATGAAGCCCCAGAGAAAGGAATCAGGTTAGGGGCAGG